AATGAGATATTTTGCATTTGGGACCAAAGCTAAACATGATATTCATTTACGTTTCACATACACCTTATACACATAGCCTGAAGGTAATTCTATACACAGTACTGTATTGGTTTTTGTATTTTGTGTGTGTGTGTGTGTGTACATTGAACCATCAGAAAGCAAAAGTGTCATTATGGACAATTCTGGATTTTGGACGATTTTGGATTTCCAGATGAATACTCAACCTATACCTGCCTTACTGTGTTGAGATTAGCACTTGGTATAGATACTGTTTTTAAAAGCTGACAATGTATCAGATAATGTCAGATAACACGTATCACATATCCCTTAACTGTCAATCAAACATGCACTGTAACAGACTCTTTCTAGGATATGTTAAAGATGTCTGTGTTAAAAAGAAAAATGTATGTGTTAAGAAGAAAGAAACAGTTATACAGCGTGCCCGCCCCATACGTGGGCTTGCCATCTGCAGACTTGAGCTCATGCGGATGGCAAGCCTGGGGGGACAAAATGGTGCCTGTGCCCATGGGAGCACACAACCATTAGAATCGATGGGACTTGATGGTTTTTATACATATGCGGGGGGGGGGGTCTGGAATGGATTCCCGCATATAACAAGGGCCCACTGTAATGACCAACAATTCAATAGAAGAAAAGATAGGAGAGACCTCAACTTGTTTCATTGAAGGGGCTTTCCTCTGTTGGTGCCCCTTAAATAAGATACTACTTTTAAAAAATGTCAGGAGTTCAGGATTAGTTAATAAATGTTAAATGGATCAACCGCAGCAGAGGAAGGAGAGAGGAATCCTGGTTACATGGCTATTTGGGACAGTGATTATTCTGGGGCTTATTTAGAGTTAATATGGGCAGGGCACAATAGGAAAGCATGTAACGATCAACAGATAGTAGGGGAGCACCTGTAATCTAAATAATTTCACTTTTTTTTTTTACTTTCAAAGACAACTTGTTTTTGGAGTGCCAGTAATACTTTCCAAGAAAGGACACATCCTGAGTTATTTAACTGAAAACATACTGGGTGGGAACCAGGTGGTGTCCCATGACTGATACAACACATCCATCTGCAAACCTGAGAGGGAGCAATTCAGGGGTATAGATGCAGGATGGTGGGTGGTGGGGAGAAACAAGGGCATTTGTCTCCACATACAAGAATTCTATCCCCAATGAAATTTTCCTTCAGTCTTAAATTTCTAGCATTGCAATAACTTAAAACCACAGTTGAGTATTTTGAAATACAATTTAGACATCTGAAGAAAAACGGTAAAGTTAAGGGAATGCCAACAGAGAAAATACAGGAGTTTTAAGTGTGAGTTATTTTCAGTGTCTTGCACTCTGAAATGCTAGAAATTTGGGGCTGAAGGAGAAAGCTGAAAATCGCCCTTCCTGATAGATTATGAAGGTCACCAAATGGATATCACTCAAATGGTAAGGATTACAACTAGGTTTGCATATATACCTGTATAAATGGAGGGTGGGATAAATAAAATATTTACTAACAAATTCATTTTTGAAAGATCAGGGTAAGAATCATGCAACTGTATTGCAACTGCTAGCATTCCTCATCCTTGGCTATGCTGGCTATGACTACTGGAAGTTGATGTCCAACAGCTTTTTGGAGGACTGCAGGATTCCAACCCCAGTGTGGATATAATCAAATCCAGTCTAGATAGTATACTAATTTGACATTATAGTAGGATTACAGAGACTGCCAGTTCTTTTCTACATGCAAAGGTCTGTCGAAATCAGTTATCACAAAAACTACCTCAGCTTCAAAATAAGTTGTATTTTTAGTATGCTATGTCAAACACAGATGTAACTCTTGCAGCAGTATAACCCTTAGATTAAAGGAGGAAACAATCATTTTTTCACCCAAAACAGTCCATTCCCACGCTGTGTTCAAAGGAGTCTATAATTAAGGGTGGAAGCACATATTGTATGCAGTCCTTGGTTCTTTTTAGATACCCCTTGTCACTATATACAATGAAACCATTGAGGCTACAGTTTGAAAAAGAATATTCATTCTTATATCATTTGCATAATGGAGGCACTTGGGAAGGAGATTTTAAGCAAGAACACAGAATGAGAGAAAAGTGTTAGGAAGTCCTAAGCCTCCATGTCAGTCTTCTACTTCAAACTGAGGCCTCAGAAGCTGTATTATACAAAAGATGGAGTCTCCAAAAAGAATCATGGAACCAAATGAAGCTCTAGTTCTTCTATAAAAAGCAGATATTGAGAGATACTACATTCCTCTCAGTAACAAGGCATCATATTCCAGTCTTTGTATGTTAAATCAATTGAGATCAAAATGTTGTTTGCTCTCTGTCTTAAAATGTACTGACCTGATTTTTCTCTCTCTGGACTAATGCATAGAACTGAAATGTCAGTCTTTGGTTTCTGCACCTCTTCAAGTTTGTGATACATTCTTCCAGACAAATGCATATTTTAGTTTAAAACACACACATTAAAATGTACTTTGGGATTAAATGTACAGAAATGTATGACAAATGTGTTTGAAAATAACGTGAATTCTCTTGTATATACTAAACTATATTAAAAATTAATTAGCTGCTTATACAGTCAGCCCTCCTTATCCACAGACTTTTTATCCATAGATTCAAGCACCCATGGTTTGAAAATATTACAAAATATATAAATTCCAAAAAGCAAACTTTAATTTTGCTATTTTATATAAGGGACGCCATTTTGCTATGCCATTGTATTTAATGGGACTTGAGCATCCACAGATTTTGTTATCCACAGGGGGTCCTGGAACAAAACCTCTGCAGATACTAAGGGCCCACTGTATATTGTAATTAAAATATCAACTTTGATAGTATCATTAGATTTATGTCTACATCTACTTGCCTGTTTTTTGAAATGCTATACAACGTCATACTCAACCTTCAAACACTAAAATAAATGCATTGTAGACTGAAATGCCCATGTCTCTTGTGCCAGGAAACCTTTGCAACTTAGTTCATGACTAACTGATTCTGTTATATGGTTTCTCGGATGCCTGGAAACTACATGTCCCAGAGCTCAATGAGCTCACCCTGAATGCTATCATCAGTAGTGGCACCCTGGAGAACTATATTTTCTAGGATCTCTTGAGAATTCCACTGTTCAAGGAATTGGGAAGCAAGGGAGAAACAGAGTCCTTATAGAGAGCCTCTCAAATACCACAGATGCCTCAGTCCATCAAAGCCCCTTAATCTTTATCTTTTAACCAGCAACATCAATTTAGAAGCCATAAGGTCTAAAGTTTATACAGGAGTGTTTGTGTGGAGATGTCTCATAGAAGTGTGACTGCAATTCTATACACACATACTCCATTGATTCTAGGAACGTATAATATTAAAAAAATCAATCCTAAATATGCAATGACTGCATATTGTCACTCTGAAATGACAAAGGACTGTGGCATGCATTTTGTTTTGGACTGAGAAATATTCCAAAAATAGACTACAGTATTTTCCTAACAGACATTGAACAAAAAATTTGGTACAATGAGAATTAAGCCATGGTTATCATTCAAACCACAACCTGCATCCGAGGAAGTAGACCAAGTCTATGAAAGCTTATGCTACAACATCTTTCACCCAGTTAGTATCAAAGGTGCTACAAAATCCTTTGCATACTGATACTGAATCTAGACTATCATGGCCATGTCTCTAAATTCTAGTGTCATTCAACTCATCATTCAGCTCATTATCTAATGTGTTGATTTTCTCTTTATGTGCTTTCACCTGGGGAAGGGCATGGGTCTGGACTCAATTTAGGGTGCATGCTGCTTTGCCTGCCAATAGGGGTCACTATGGGTTGATCTAATGTTGGCAGAACTTGATTTCCCTCTATTCCACAAATGACACATATACTTGCTCTGAATCCAACATGGATTTTCCTTTTTCCTTTCCTCCCTCACCATTTATTCCGATGTTTTTCACTTAAAAACAACAACGATGTACCTTGTTTGTCTCATTAAAAATTTATGTGACTTTTTAACTTAAAAATTAAACCTTGAAAAACTACTCTGGGAAAGAGTAGCAGCTTTATGATTCTCACAATAGGCCATCCCATCAGGACTGCAACCAGTCAAGACTGTGCAAAAGGTGAAGGCTTCAATACTTAAGAGAAGATCATCCATTATGTATTAGTATATGTGTATATGAAGCATATATATAATATGATATGATATGATATGATATGATATGATACATTTGGCTTCAAATAAAGTATGCATGCTTTTGTTTGGTTAATGGAGTGCTAACACACACAAAAAATAGCCTCAGCAATATTTGATGTTCATTCCCACTCTATATTGAATAAAACTGTTATAAAATGACTAATAACCACTATAAAAGATGATCAATTTAAAGAGGATAATCTCAGTGACAGCGGTAATGCTTACTTGAGTATTGACTAAAATCCACAGCCTGTGCATTTTAAAAATACACTTATGGGGGGGGGGGGAAGAAGACTTTCAAGGACTAAAATACTGCTGCTCTTGTGTCAGGACAGAGCGTCTTTGATGGACAGGCACACATTGGTAAAGCCAATTCCTGAGTTTACAGTCTTGTTTTTCCTCACTGTTAGCAATGAATCAATATACAAGCATCATCACTGTTAGTCAGGGGTCAGGTAGGGTTGGCAAAATAGGAACAAGCTTGCTAACGTAAAAGCTACTTTAGAGCTTTCCACTGTCTGTTGCTGCAGCACTACTCCTTGAACTTCTTCACTCCTTTATTCAGAGCAATTTGCAATAGGTTTCCATAACCTCAAGTACCTACCCTGTTGCATGCATAAGTTTTAAAAATGCCATCTATCTACCCCTTGTCTCACCAATCTCTATGAAGCTACTGTGTCCGTCCAAGTCATTTCTGACTTATGATGACCCTAAGACGGATTTACCATGGTGTGTTCTTGTTTGTTCAGAAGGGCTCTGCCTTTCCTGTCCTCTGAGACTGAAACCCAGTGGGCTTCTATGGCCAAGCAAAGATACGAACCCTGGCCTCCAGAATCATAGTCCAGCGCTCAAACCACTATACCACACTGGCTCTCCTTGAAGCTATAGATATGTAGAATTCCCATCTGAGCCCTACAAAAAGACATCAAAATGCAAAGACAGCAAGATGTGCAGGATTCACAAGAGTTGGGGATGCATACTTGTTGGACTCTTTCCTACAAACATACTTTGCTTTAAGGTGCTTCCCTTTCCAGCACTTTGCTAATATGGCACTTTTCAGATATACAGTATAGCATCCTTTTGTCAGTTGGTCTAAATACCCTAAAGGCACCAGATCTAATACCATCTGATCTTGAAAGCTAAGATGGTCAGCCCTTGTTAATACTTGCATAGAAGACC